TTGCAGATGATGCTACAAGGGTAGTACTGAATAAAGTAGACGATGATCCACGTTCAGATTATATAAACGCCAACTTTTTAAACGTACGTTCTATTATAATGACCATTTTGGAAATTGGATTGTGCATTGGATCTGTTTGAAGAAAAACTTTGAATATAAATCTAAATGGTTTTCATTTACGGTTTGGCTCAGTATTGTCTATTACAATTTATATATGTATTAACATTAACTCTAGAGACAAAGTCCAACGGTTATAGATTTAAAATATTATTTTTGTCTTTCAATACAGGGTTATGATGGAAAAACATTTATTGCTGCTCAAGGTAACAATCTACTTTTTCTCAAATCATGTTGCAATAGTTTGCGTTTGTACATGATACTTGGTTGATAAAATAAATCAGGCCGTGATATTGTATCCATTTTAATAGATACATTTTATAGAAGATATATCAATTCGCAATTTTTTTTAAGACAAAGCATTGCTTTTGTGTCGGTTCCCTTTTGAAGGTTTATTTAAGTAGAACTTGTAACACAATTACCATACAAATTGAGAAATCCAATAGAAGATTGGAATCAGGCTGATTACGTACATATGGGGCACTTGTTATTATTTAACATAATTCGGTATTCTATACAGGCGCAACACGAGTAACACGGAATGATTTTGTAAGAATGATCTGGGATATGAAATGTGATAAGGTTGTCATGGTTACCAGAGAATATGAAGATGGAAAGGTAGAGTATTTTAGTAATTGGAATCATTTACATTTGGTATCTGTTATGCTGAAGTCATTTCATAGACTGACGACCACGAGAAAAAATACAATACCGTTCCAAATCGCAATCTGCAATAAATTTCCACAAGGTGCCAAAGTCAGGGAGAATTCTTAAGTTAATCAAGGTGGTAACAGATGACATAGCCAGATGTCAACAGATGTCGAAAGCTTCCTTCAAGTTGCGTTAACACATGCGATGATAGTGTTCTTATATTATCCATGTTAGTAAATACACAAAGCACTGACGATCCAAACCGCAAAACGAAATCAACAACCCCCCGGCGAAACATTGATATATTACATGACACTTTTCAGAGAAAATGTGAACGGTACTGGCCATTGGAAGTAGGATCCTCGGAGACGTTTGGTATAATAAAGCTTACATTAAAAGAGGAGATTTACCGAGAGAGTTATTCTAAACGATATATTATAATGGAAAGGGTAGGTACAGTACCCGTGTCACATCAGGGAAAGCCAAGAAAAACCAGTCTCAGATGAATGTGGGTTGTTTCGAACGATTCAACTTGCTTTGGCTGTCTAGGCCAGAGGAAATTAAAAACTTAATTTAGAATCGGGAAAAGGAATAATCTGGTGGTCTTGAATTGTTATCTCTCATCGTGGAATTATCAAATTTCATTTTGTGAAGTTTTCATTGTAGGATGGGATGACACACAAGTTCTGTCACTTCCATTACACCAGTTGGCCAGATCATGATGTACCGGAGATCAATGATATATTAGATTTCCAGTTTACAGTTGATAAATTTAAACCAGAATCTAAAAGTCCTGTACTAGTTCATTGTAGGTGGGTATATCATTCTTCTAAGTTTGAATGGTGAAGATACCAGCGATCATCTGGACTTGGGACACTAAGTTGTCATGGTTTAGATCTGTATCCAAATCCTGAAAGGTGTTTTTTTGCCACAGTTCTTGGCCTAGTTGGTAATTGATGAGGTACATCATCGTCCTTTTTTTTACCAGTTTTTCGATGTAACAAGTTCTTTTTTTACACATTGCAAAATTTGTTACATTTTTTTGAAGACCGTCATTAAAAATTTGGAAAAGGATCAACCTTGATTTGAGCACAGTTCATTAGAGATTCTTTCAATATTTTAGTATCACGTGATAGTACATGCTTTTGACAAGATGCTCATAATTGAAGGTTCGGATGCAGGTGAGTTCCTAACATGACTAGGTGTAAATAAAATAAATTTAATTTCCAATGCAGTGCTGGTGTTGGTAGAACTGGTACATATATAGCTATAGACTACTGTTTAAAACAGTACAAAGATACTGGTAAGGTGGATGTATTAGAATGTGTTAAAACTCTTCGTCAACAGAGAAAAGGAATGATCCAAACTCCAGTAAGTTTTGTGTCATAAGTAATAGTTCGCAAACAAATATATTGCCCGTAAATTGCGTCAAGCAACAAAAGCTATTAAACAAAAACTTTGAGAATGTTATCCACTTTAATCCTTTGGAATGGATACCAATTACTGTCGATACAAGTATATGCGTTGTGTTTAATTTATACAACAGTTTTGTCTTCAGTAATCTATTGATATGATACATGTCCATCAGAAAAACATGATATACTACGACTTGCCCATGCGAGAAAAAACATCATGAAAAGTTTTGCAATCTAGATGATGGGCAGAAGAATGTGCTTTCGCTTTTTCTATGTGCTAAAAATAGTCAACTCAAATAAAAGGGTCCCATGTTACCACCTTTGGTTCTAGTCTACGCCAAGTTAATTGATAATTTCGAGTTGGAAGGAGCTAACGTCTAAACGCCTTGGTTGCTGTTCATATTATGTTTTCCTTATAAATTTATTTTCAGTCTCAACTACAATTTGTCCACGAAGCTCTGATAGAAGGAATTAAACGAGGAGACACTGCTATGTATAAAAATATATACGAGTCTGAATACGACAAGCACGCTTCAAAAATAAGAATGGGGAACATGTTACTGAAACAACAATTCTCCTATCTTAAAACAGTGGAAAACAACGAAGGTAGAAAATATACTTCCAACTTTTTCTTTGGAACGTTATTAAACAGCGTAGTAGTAACACCATGTCGTAATTCTTAAACAAAAATTACGGAACAAAACGCCAACCGTATATGACTTCCACTCTATGTACTCTTGGATTTAATCATTCAGATGGGACAACCGTGATCCCAAGACTTACATGTAAAGGTATTAATTAATCTAATACAGTAGCAGTTCTTATGTATCCATATGCGTTTCTGTAATCTGTGACTTCTAACGTTTTGAAAAATTATTTATAAGTTGAAATTCGAGTCTAATTTTCAGAAGAAACAGACAACAACAAGCATATTGTGAGTGACAGAACGCAACTTTATAGATTCCCGGTAAGTGTTATTAGTTCAACACAGAACAGTTGATTTCCAATTTTTCAAAAGAAGTTCTTCAATTATAACAAACGCTTCGTAAAATTGTGTCAAAATTTAAACCATCTATCCTACGTCCAGTCGACTACAACCACAAAACAGTTTTTGAGAAACCTTTTATTTTGCTTTCATGAACTTAATCATATAAGACGACTCATTACATTTCAACGAAAATGTACATAAAGCTAAGCTCGAATGCAGAGCTGATATTAGAACTTAGCTTTCGTTAAGCTCTTTCCTTTAATTTTAAAACATTCATTTGCAGTCACATACTCAAGAATTTGGAATTTATTTTGAAGAATTACGGAATGTAGAACCAAACGATATTTGGAAAGGAATATTTCAAACAGGTGCCGAAGTAGCAATATTTATACTAGACAATACGGTAAGAAGTATTTATTATCCTTTGAAAGCTCATCTCATGATATTGACAAGTGTTTCGAGGGTCAAATTTGCTAACATTTATGAAGACTATACACTAAAATTTAAGAGAAATGTGTTCTTAAAATATCTGAAATTTAAACTTAAAGTATATTTATGTTAATTTAAGTTAAAAGGTTTACGTAATCATTTTAAGAAATTAAATGCCTAATATGTCTTCATATATTCTGAAAGTTTCAAACTAAAAAAGAATAGATAGTCAATATAAGAAAGTTGGTAAATATCCATTCCTACGCTTTTATTGATCAAAAGCAAAAGTATTTTTTTTATAGCATTCAGTTGTAGTCTGTCCAGATATAGGATCTGAAGAAACTCGTGGTGAATTAGTGATAGAAAACAAATCAGAAGAAAACCTGAGTCCAACTTTGAATGTTGCCAGTGTATCAGTGAAAACAAAGGTAAACTTGTATTCTCCTTTGCCATCTGAATTTAATTTGGTTAAGAGGAGCACATTTTCGGTTCGATCCCGTTACGACTTGAGAGACTTTTAAATCTGGGAGGTCTTAGGGTAAATAGAGATCAGAGTTTGTTATCCCTAATCCTAAACTTTTATACACTTTTTAATGTGGCGGTGAAATGTATTTTCATTAGAAAAGAATTTTGTGTTTTGCAGGGACATCCTGTACTAGAAATGAATGTGTTAATATCAAATCTTGATAAAAGTAATATGAAGAAGCCCATTGTTTTTTATAAACATATTTTGGATATCATAGAAAAGATGGAAAGTTATGGGAATGATGTACAACCAATTTTTATTTTTGGAAGGTAAGATCAACATCAACCTATTGTATCAACATGCATATACTACAACCAACACACGTTTTACATAACCTGTACACAATGTTGTATTCTGTTTAATACTACACCAAATCGATATTTTATCCTTTTAACAACATAGCATTGGGTTTCCTTGCATTGTACTTCTGTTGCCCATTTGTCTTGTATGCATGTTATATCGACATTTAAATTGTAATGTCTTCTAG